ATCCTTTTGTCAGTGTCTGACATGAGGATGAGTCATGGCCATTGCTTGACCAATTTGCTCTCTGTGAAAGCTTGAGAAAATGTTTTTTCTCTCCATGTGACTCTCCCCAGGCTCACTTTAGATCATCGAATACATTTCTCTGTGGCGCCATAATCTTCTTGATCAGAAAATTTGGAGCACACCTGAGTTACATGTTGTTACAGTACAGGTTCTCCTATGTCCGTGGTGTGGTTCTTGGACTTGGCCATAACTGCACCATAAACCGCGGTGACCAAGCGCCTGGAACCAGAAGATGAAAAGAAAGCTCATTCCTTTTTTCATTATGACATCTTGCCCTTTTCCTGCTAAAGGCTTTTGTTTTAAAGTCAGCCGTAATACAAGATGTAGGCAGTACTTACCTGCGACACCATTTCGTGCCATTCTTTTTTATCTTTGTGCATGTGTCTTTTATTCTTTTTGTGTCTCTTATAAAAACTTATACTTGAGTTTTGATTCAATCTCGACTTTAACTTTCAATTCTAATTACTGGCATAACTCTTCAACATCATATTTTAAAATTTTTATTTACTGTACATTTAACTTCATCTTTCCTCTTCTCTGTTGGACTGATCAGCTTGCTTTAGCACTCTGTGAACTCCCTCCCAACCTTGCCATCCCATACCTGTATCAGGTAGAGTGGACAAGTAGAATGAATATTTGAACTTTAAAAAATGTACAATAAAGGATATGTAACTATTAATCCTACTTCAAATACCCCTCCCCCAATGCTTATCCCAGTATCCTTGCCAATTTCTGAAGCAGCTCTGGAAGTCCTTTTCTGTGCCTCCAGTTGTATTGTCATGGTTGCTCCAATATCCCAAATTGATTGAAGACACTCACCTTTTATGGCCATTTTTACTTTGACAAAGAGCCAAAAGTTGCACCTTGCTAGATTTGATAAGTAAGGTGCACAAAGACACACTGTATTTTTTTTTTTTTTTTTTTTTTTGCGGTACTGGGTATTGAACTCAGGACCTTGCGCCTGCCAGGCAAGCACTTATTCTATTGAGCTATCTCCCCGCCCTTAAGACTGTAATGTTTTTACAAACCTATTTTTTTTGTTGTTGTTGGATGGCATTTGACAGAAGAATTCACGGTATTTTTTTTAAAATTATACTTTGAAAAGACACTCAGGGAAGAGGACTTCCAGAATCGCTTAGAAAGTGGCAAGAATGGTGGGCTAACGTGTGTTTGAAGGGAGGGGAAATATTTTGAGGGGGAATTAATGGCAACCTGTCTTTTACTGTAACAGAACAGTTTAGAAATTTAAGCACCACAATATATTTCTTTTCTTTCCTTCTTTTTCTTTTTTCTTTCTTTCTTTCTTTTTTTTTTTTTTTGCAGAACCGGGGATTGAACTCAGGCCCTTGTGCTTGCCAGGGAAGCGCTTATTCTACTGAGCCATCTCACCGGCCCCACCACAGTGTATTTCAATCACACCTTACATTTTTGTCTAAAACTTTGTTCCAATTTGCTCTTGAAGTAAATTTTTGAAAATTTATGGTCAATGATTATTGAGATTTGCCAACTGATTTTACCTATTTCTTTGTTCACCATTATTTCCTATATCCCTACCTTTCTAACATGAATCCCAGGATAGTTCTCTGGCTTTTTAGTATCCTGGTCTTTGTATTTCTTAAAAAGACCCTCACTCTATGGTCACTCTTGAACGCTGATTCTGGTTCACATTACCCCTAGCACCCTGGCAGCAGCACTTCACATTCATCCAGCAGTTCTTCCTTTTTTTTTAGTGGGTTTGGTGCAGGCGCTCACTGAGCAGCTCAGACTCATAGTAATCCTCCTGTTTCAGCCTCCTCAGTGCTGGTATCCCAGGCGAGTGCCCCCACGCCTGGTCGTCACGGTTGGCTCAGCGTGCCTGGACGTGGAGCCTGCACGGCATGTGGTGCTGGAGATCAAACCCTGGTCCCTGCGCCTGCCAGGCAGGTGCTTAGACGACTGAGCTATCTCTCCAGCCCTTCTGCAAGGAGTTGTGCTGATAAAGAAGTCTAACAGTCCAGTAGCCATTCACTCTTGCAGATTTTAGAGTCCGTCTGCTTTCTCATGCTTCTGGATTTTATTTTTTGTAAGAATTTTGATTTTTTTTAAAATCCTTATGCATGCCCTTCTGGAATATTGGTTTCTGCATTTTCTTCGAGGGCAGGAATTTCAGCCAGGCATCACTACCCTGGCTTAGTTCTTAATTAAAAAAACATTTTCTTAGATCTCTGTGGTGCTTTTTCTGTGATATTCTGAGCTGTGTTTTCAAATCAATTAGCAGTAGTATTAGGCGGGCCAGGCTAATTATTTCCTTTAATGAGTTTTTAAAAGTATGTATTTTCTTTTTTTTATTATTTGGTGCTTCTCCCAATTTCTCTGCTATTTTGGAGAATTTTGAATATATTTGTTTAGAATTCTTCTCCCCCATTTTGGCTTCATTATTTCTTGAGGCACAAATCACCTCATTATTGTGGCTCTGGAGTGGTTTAAATGCTTTCTGTGATATTCTGAGCTGTGTTTTCAAATCAATTAGCAGTAGTATTAGTAGTTTTACATTGAGAACTCATTTTGTGTAGATTTTTTTTTTTTTACCATATATGCCTTGCTGTTGTGTGGTTGTTATGATGCTCAGATTGTAGAGCTATAAACTCTGGAAAATATTTATGCTAATATTTAAAGATCTTACCTGAGCCAGTTGGGCAATCTGGAAATACATTCAGATCTGTCGTGATAATCAGATACTGGTTGGTTTTTCTTTTTTGCGGTCCAGGGGATTGAACTCAGGACCTTGCGCTTGCCAGGTAGGCGCTTAAGCCACTGAGCTATATCCCCAGACCTAAGATTCTGGGTTTTCACAAAGAGCCGTCAAAAGTAAAGAGCTGTCTCTCTGTTTTGTGTGAGGTCAAGCGACTAAAACTGCGTCTCGCCCGGAGTCCCGCGGCAAGCGCGTCCCTCTCAGTGGCCTGCAGTAGAAATGAAAGCGCTTGCGCAGCCAGCAAATGGTCTGCGTGCTGTCTCCAACACGTAGTCAGGATGCAGCCGCTTATTGTTACCTCTGCGGCAGCCGCCCTGGTCCAAGACCCTCTCCTTCTGCGCTGCCGGGCGTCTCCAAGTGGATTTCTCACTGTTGCCTTGTCCCCATCCATTTCATTCTCATCCCGAGGCCAACGTGTTCTGCGGAGGTTAGCCGAGCCCTGCCGCTGCCCTAACCAGCGGCTGCCCTTTCTCACCGAGGAGCAGGCTGCGAGTCCCCCTCTGCCCGGAGATCGCCCCATGCCGTAGCTCTCCGCAGCTGCCCCTCGCTTGCCTCCTCCCCACGCTGGACTCCGGCCCGCGCCTGCTGCAGGGCGGGGCCATCACTTGCTGTCCTAGTGCGGCTTTTCTACAGGATATCTATTTGCACATTTCCTCAGATGTCCTCTTCAATTCACAATTTAGTACTGAGTTTCTCCAGCTCTGCGCGGCGTTTGTCAGCGTGGCACATTCTTTACAATCCCTCCTCTTGTTCCTGGAGTCAATGCCTAGTGGCATCAGAATGTCACTGCGCGAGGACAGTCCTGTGTCTGCGGGCGTGCGAGCTGTTTGCACTTCCTAGAATGACGGACACGGTAAGTGCACAGTATGCTTTTGAAGAATGAACACACTTTACTTCCGTTTTACAAAATGGATAATTAAGACATGGCGATGTTACACATCTCGCGGCCTGTCATCACATCATCTGTTGTAAGCGATACATTCGGTGTTCAGACCCAGATGTGGCTGACATAAAGTACAAGTTCTTTTTTGATGGTGCCACGGATCAAACTTGGGACATTGCGCTTGCCAGGCAAGCACTTAGAGCGCTGAGCTGTCGCCCCAGCCCAAAACTACAAGTTCTTAACCTTGATAGAAAGCGGTTCTATAGAAAGCCACTGAAATATTTTATTTTATGTTATTTGCTTGAAAATTAGCCTTTCCCTGGAGACCACCTGTACTAAACTTTAAATTTTAATGAATGTTTCATTGCTTTTATAGACTATCACCTCCAGGTTGTCCGAATAGTGACAACGAAGCAAAGCCAGCAGCGTCGCTAGCTCTTGTTTGCCGTGATCATAGTAAGGCAGGACAGGTACGGTTCTTCCCATGAGGGTCATTCAGAATTTCCCTTCGATTTCTGTTTCTCAAAGAGAGTCTGGGAATCTTGATTACTTATATTATGTGGGAAAGGACCAAGTATTCCGGACCCCAACTCAGACTGTGACAAATGTATGTACTAGCCAGGATCTACTAGTTGACTAAAAGAGGATTGGAAAATCCCTCTAATTTTCAGCTGCTGTTTTCCATTCTGATTGAGAGCGGAGTGAATCCTTCTGATGTTTTGTGAGGTTCACTCAGTAAATCTCATTTTGCTAACTGTGACCATGTATTTTTCTATAAAATCTAGACGTGCCTGGCTTTTGAGAACTTGTGAAGAGAAGGTGGAGGCTAAGGAGTAAGATGTAAAAATTAATTTGTCCTGAAATTTGGGATTGTAGGAAATGTGCTATGTGTGTTTGCAACGAGCACAACGGAATTTCCCATTGTACTACAGCGAGGAGAGGAGGAAGAGGGAGACCAAAGATGAGCAGCTCCTGCAGCAGTATCAGATGTTGAAAGATCAGGAGGCTTTCGTCAAGCACCAGGTAGTCTGAGCTCTCAGTTAAAGAGTGTTCAGTGGGGCTTTAGCTCTGCGGTCTAAAGCACCTCGTTGGGCAAGCTTAGCCGCAGGGACCACGGTTTGATCCCTGGCACCACATGCCATACCAGCCCCGCCCCCAGGGCAGGCTGAGCCTGCCACAAACAAAACAAAAAAGAGTGTTAGTATGGGAAAAAGGAGCCTGATCATCACAATCTACTTCAAAGTGCTGCACCGTGCTGGCTGTGGTGGCACTCAGGACACTGAGACGAGAGAGCTGTGAGTTTCAAGCCAGCCTGAGCTGATAGTCACCTATCTCAGTAACAGACAGCAAAACCCACAACAGGCTATTGCATCATCTGCCTATATTATATAATTATTTATATACTTCTTGACTGAAATCTACATTGTGCCCAAATTTTCACTGATACCCACTTTGGAATAAGGATTTATGTGATTCGAAGTTTGCTCTTTTCACTGACTTTTCTTTTCTTCCCAAAGGACTGAATTTTAAAGGTGCAATTGCTGGATTTGTACTGATTAATTTTTTATTTCTGATAAAATAATCATCCAGTCAAAGCTTTTCCCTTTCAAATTCATGGCCTGTCCCAAGCAAGCGAAGACAGAACGGCATCTTTGTTTGCTCTTTCCAGATTTATGTGGTCTTCAATAACTGATCCTAGTGATCTTTTCTGCATTTATGATGACATCTTCCAATTCCTTTCTGAGATTGTTGCCTAACGTCCAAGAATATGAACTAAAAAATTCTTCCCTGCCCCACTTACACCTATGAAGGCATCAAAAGTAGCATCACCTCCAAACGGGTTTCTTAGTTGGACTCTGTTAATGTTATAAAATTTGAAAGTTTATAAACATTCTATTTCAATTGTTATTCAAATTTAAAAAATTGTTTTGTAACAGATGAACATTTTGGCAGCTAGAGAACAGAATCAGAAAAACGCTGCCTATAATCTTGGAGTTGCAGAAGCCATAAGAAATCACAAGCATGAGAAGCCGGAATTTTATGTAAGAGCGCTTTGCCAACTTCTGTTGCTGACAGCCGCTGTCTTTGGAGCCACATCATTTGTGTTGCTTCCAAGGCTTAAAGGTTGTGTGAGATGTGGAATGTCATCTTTGCACTCACTGCTCCTGTACGGGACCCAGGGCTGCGGGGTTGGTATAGTTGAGGCGGTTTAGTCCTCTACGTGTCAGCTGAGAAGTGGGTTGTGCAAGGGGGAGCTTCCTTTCAGGGCAGCTGCTGCCCAGCGTGTCCTCGGCACCACGCAGTGGGGACCAACTCTTGTCCCTACCTGCAGCTCCTGTCATGACATTCTCAGCCAGACCTGGGCAGTTGGCAGAGAGCTGAGTACTACGGCTCAACCCGAGGAGCTAAAGACTGAAACATTAGCATTGCTGTCGCCTGTGAGCACGCTAGGACTTTAGACTCGGGCCCTCCCCACACTCCCAAAACGGTGAATCATGCTGAAGTAGGACCCCCAAGTGACTCAGATGTGTATTGTGTTTTGAGATGCTCAGCTTCAGATGGACATGAGCCACCTACTTCACTAATCAGATACCTTCAACCACGTGCCTGATTTTATTTCTTCCCGAATTCTTCTCTTCCTGTACCGCTATCTAGGTAGTCTGACATTCTACACATAAATCATTAATGTGCATTTTTCTATATCATCAAACATTTACTAAACTTCTCTGGACCAGCCCCTGGGCTGATGGCTAGGAAGACAAATTGCCTCTTCTAGAGAGATCTCAGTCTAGCTGGGCAGAGAAGCCCAAAAGAGACAAGAGCACGAGATGCTAACAGCTATGAGACATCTTTGCAGAGCACGCTGTGTGAGCAAAGAGCAGAGTCACTTCACCCAGACAAAAAAATTTGGGAAGACTTCTTAGGATGCAACAGTTAGGTTGATCTAGGTGTGGGGGCACACATCTGCAATTGCAGTGTTGTGGGAAGCTGAGGGAAGCGGATGGTGCGCTTGAGCTCAGCCATGGCAGCTGAGTGATAAAGGGAGGGCTGGTCTCAAAATTAAAAAAATTTAAAAGAGAACTGGAGGTGTCACTCGATACAAAGGTCCGGGGCGCAGTCTCTAGTACCACTAGTACCACACACACACACACACACACACACACACACACACTAACAAGTGAGGGGAGGGGAGGAGGAGCGTTCCAGGAAGGAAGGGAGACAGCGCTGGGCTTTTGGCATTGAGCTTATACATCAGCTCGGACATCAGATCCAGATTCCATTACTACCAACCATTTGTAGCTCCTCTTTGGCGCATCCTATATAAACTTTTTTTGTGACAGGGTCTACTTGTAGTTCAAGGCTGACTTCAACCCACTACAGGATCCAGGCTGGTCTCGAATGTATGGCGAGCCTCCTTCCTCAGCCTCCCGGGTTCTGGGATTACATGCATGCCACCACCGTGCCCAGACCTAGACAGTGTAAACTTAAAAAGATAAAGGCAGGGCTTTTCATTCTGTCCTCCTCCTGTTCTTCCCTGTCTTCCTGAGTGAGTGAGCAGCAGCATGGTCGGTGAGCTGCACAGAGCTCAGCTCTTGGCGTGACCTCAAGGTCCTCTCTCCCTGTCCCTCACACCCACCCACCTCCAGGCTGCCTTCACCTCCCTGCCCAAGCTCCATTCAGGTCTGCTCATCTTCAGTGTTGCACCCGACACCAAGGCACGAAGCTCAACTTTTGCAGCACCTCCCCAGTTAGACTCATTGCTTACCCTCGGGTTCTCTTGCAAATCTATATGGCAGGGTGAGCTTGAGATATTCCTAGCCAAAGCCTGCCACTCGCTTGCCCAGTCCCTCTGAAAGCACCCCACTGAACTGTAATGAAATCCAGATGGTTGGCTTTGCCCTGAACAGCCCCACCTGCCTGCCCTGCGTTTCTCCTCAGGCTCATCAGCTTCTGCTTGCTCATGGGCCCTCAGCCCCACAGCCCCCTTCAGCTTGCTGCAGGTGCCTAGCTTGCTTCTGTCAAGCATCTTTGCACTTGCTGCTCCTGTAGGGGACCCAGGGCTCCCCAGTTGGTACAGCAGAGGCGATTTAGTCCTCCGCGTAGCAAGCCCACCCAATCACTTTGCTGTGATAAGGGCTTCGGGGCATGTATCACCGCCTCAAATGACCTCGTCCATTGTGTGTGTGCTCATTTTCTGTGCAAGTTCGATGGGAATGAGGCTCTCTGAACTTGGCCACTGTTGGAGTGCTGGTGTCTAGAACGGTCAGCCCACTCCCACACGTTCTGCATGTAACATGAGGCGAGACTTCTCAGATAAACAATAAGCTAGATTTTGTGACTACAATAGTATATATATAAAAAATGTCTACATTCCATTATTCTTCAGGGGCTCTTGGAACTTCCTTCGTCCATCCGGAAGTTGTAAGCGCTACTCGGGGCTTATCTGTCTCAGAAGCTGGGCTCTGACCCTAGCTCAGCTTCTTCCTTGAACAGGTCTATGTTATTCTTTGCGCTAGCTCAACCCTAGATCATGGATGTATTGAGGGGTAGGCTGGTAGTAGAAATTAATAAATACTTCCTGATTGATTTCAGTCTTCTGAATTGTTAATAACTCATCCTTAATTATTAGTCCATTTTTAATGCCCATAACAATGGAATATAATAAAAAATTTTTCTTCAAGTTCTTGCTCCTTGATTGTTTCTAGGTAATATACATAAATTTTATGCAAAGATTCAAATAATTTTACTTTTTGGTATAAATGGGCTAACTTTAAATGTTTGACATTTTACAACAAATGAATTGCTTCTCTTTTATTTTAGAAATCTTTTCTATTCTATAAGCGGCCACTTAGTCCTGAGATTAATGCTCTTAGACAAGAGGAATATTCCCAAAGTCTCCTGAAACAAATGGAAAACAGACGGGAAAAGGAAATCACACAAAGACAAAACAGAGAGTTGATGGACCGCCTAGAACAAGTGCAACTCACAGAGGAGTGAGTTGAGCCAGATGTGCTTTCAAAAACGGTTTCAGAACTTTTGTGTGGTTAACTTCTATGTAGGATTGAAAGTACTGATAGTTTTGTTCACAGCACTATAACCATCAGAACAGGCTAACCCAGTTAGTAGCTAGTACCACAGCGTAACTTTTTATGAGAAACATTATAAAGCCATTATTATTATAATTAGAGTAATGGTTGCTAAGCTACAGTTATAATTATGGGGTGTTATTCTGCATGGTTTAGCAATCCCCAACACTGGTAAATGGCTTGTATTGAGAAAGCATCATTCCCCGCTTGTAGATACCAAGACAGCCTCACGGCACAGCTGTTTTATTATAAGTACATAAACTATCATGCAGAACCTGAGAGCAGAAATGTAAAGGGAACTCCGGAAGGCCAGGACCAGGGACTACAAGGCCAGGTTGTGGCACTGCCTCATTCGGATCCACAGCTCCTGAGCTGGCACCGTCTCAGATTTGGAGCGTGTTGGTCTCAACTCCAGATTTTCAAGAGAGAGTCTAATTCATCTTGATTGGGTTTTCTGAGACGTCGGTAGCACTAGGGCTTGGAGTTCACGCACACCTATAAAGGGACCGTATTTCTGCTACTGAACTCGGGAGGGCAGTTGTGGAAGCTGCCAGAACATGAGGCGAGACTTCTCAGATAAACAATAAGCTAGATTTTGTGACTACAATAGTATATATATAAAAAATGTCTACATTCCATTATTCTTCAGGGGCATACACCTTCCTGGAAGTTGCTACCCATTTATAGCAGGATAGATTACTTTTCTGAAAAAGACTTCATATTATATGTTTATAAGATGAACTCATGTCTTGCTTTCTTATCTATGTTTGTTAAAGAAACGGCAGGGTTGGGCTGAGTGGCCTCCTGGGTTGGCGGTATTGGCCTCCTACGGTCAATCACCTGCTCAGAGCAAGCCTGTCTGTTCTGGGTTCAGTGCCTTGTCCCCAGGCCTATGGAACTGTGTTACTTTTTCTTAAGATTAAAGCTCCTAGAACGAGCAGCACTTTTAATTTACCACATTCTCAGTCCTGTGAATATGAGCACTTGCTGAATGTTTTGATGACATTAATCTTTGGTACTAAAGATTGTGTAAAATTGTTTCTGTATCCTGTTCTTAAATGCCAGACTTGCTGCTCAAAGAGCCAAATATTTAAAAGATAAGATGGAAGAGACACAGTGTTACAAGAGAGCTTTGGATGCCCAGGTAAGGGGACAAGTATGTCTAAAGTGACGGCGCTTCCGTAGCACCGTATCAGAACATATACATATTAAAATGTTAATACTCTTGGTGTTACATATTAGGTGGGTTTGGGCTCCCTTTTCTTCCTGTAGGTTGTTGGCAGTTTATTTTATTTTTAATTTTTTTTAATGTATCTGGTACAGGGTCTCCCTACGCAGCCTGGTTTTCAGCCTCCCCAGTGCTGTGATTACAGGCAAGTGCCACCACACCCGGTGTTGGGGGCCAGCTCAGTGCACCCAGAGTGGCCGTAATGACATGTGGTACTGGCGATCCCAGTTCCTGCGCTTGCCTAAGCAGGTGCTTAGCCTGCTGGGCTATCTTGTGCACCCTATTGGCAGTTTATTATATCAGACAGTTCTGTGTAAAGTTTATTCCATCCGAGAATTACAATCTGCACTGTTTATATCCCTGTTTCAGATAAAGAACAAACCCTTCCAGTTGCCCGTATTTGAACCAGACTCGTGCGAACCTATTTTCATTAATAATGAGGATGAGCTGAAGGTGGAAAGGCGAAAGCGAGAACAGAATTACATGAAGCACCAGCTGGAGACAGCGGCTAGCGGCAAGAGGAAAGCCATCCTACAGCAGCTGATGGAGCAGAAGCGGGATCTGCAGATGCTCCAGAGGACGAGGACAGAGTAGGAGCCCGACTTTCCTTCGCCGTCTTTGTTTTGTCCTCCTCCCTCTCTTCCTTGTTCCCTTCCTCCCTCACCATTGTCAACTCTTTCTCTTCCTTTCTTCTTCTTCTTTCCTCTTTCTTCCCCTTCTCCTTTGTCCTTTCCTCCCTTCTGCCTTCTCTTCTTTCCTTTTTTCCCTCCCTCCCTCTTCTTTTTTTCCCCGCTCCTTTCCTCCCTCCTTCCTAACAGAGAAGTAAGAATAACACCTAATACACTGAGGTTTTCACTGTGAAAGACCCTGCGCTACTCTCCTTGCATACTTCAACTCCTTTTATCCTTACTAAATCATGATGTGAAGACTTTCTAAGTAATAAATTTCTCTTGATTTCACTTATTCCTCCAATTCCTTCTGCATATTCTTCTTTTCCTTTGTATTATTGCCCCTTAAAAGAATTGTACACATCAGCATCACCCATTCAAAGTATGATATGAACCAGAACGGTAGTGCCATCCTCAGGTAAACCCAGACGTGAGGTGCAGGCTTCTCCTCTTCCTCTAACCTGGCCTCCCATCGTGAGGGTGCTGCGGAAAGTGCTGAACAAGCAGAGGAAGACTGTGCCCTACCAGTGCACATACGCTTAAGTTCAGTGATGACAGCCCAGTTTCTTAAAATGCCCAACTTGTCTTCTGTCTGACAGCCATGGTGGTGGTGGTTCTACCGTGAGTTCTCCCGTGGCTCAACTGGAGACGCTTGGCGTTAGTGCCGAGAGTACTGGAGCTTCCTCCTCTGGATTTAGATGTTAGCTTCTCCAGTTTTGTCTCCTAAACTTGGAGTCAGGAGGGTGAAGCCGTCCCTTCTCAGTGGTATGTTCTGAGAAAAATCACATATAGGACCTCGGTGTCATCTTTACCTTACAGGAAAGTAAAGGACAATCACACTTGCCTTGCCTGTCCTTGCTGTAAGAGTGCTATGAAATTGCATGTATGTAAGCATGTGTAAGTCATGAGGCTTTGAAGAAACGAAAGCGATGGTCTTAGTTATCTCTTGCTGGAACCAACAGCTGAGAAGCTGAACTCAAAGGAAAGAGTCATCCAGTATAGGGAATGTGGGCTGCGTCTTCATATGAATTAAATTAAATAAAAAAAAAAAGAATCAGGGCCGGGGAGATGGCTCAGTGGAATAAGCGCTTCCCTGGCAAGCGCAAGGGCCTCAGTTCAATCCCTGGTTCCGCAAAAAAAAAAAAAAAAAAAAAAAAAAAAAAAAAAAGAAATTGATGTTGTTACTTGCAACAAGGATGCTGTCTTGCTAATTTAAATCACAACTGAAGATGAAAGTTCCTAGACCTGAAAATTATATGACTAGGAGGTTCATCGTGCTTTTTCAGTGTCCATGCCATTTAGAATATTTCAAAATTAGTTGACAAAACCTAGAGCTTTTTCCATCTCACATAAAAGGAAAAGCGCTCCCACAGTTGGTGGGATAATAAACTGAGGCGGAGCGGTCTTCTCCCCAGGCACTTGGCAGACAGAAGTGCGGAGTTGGCGCGCATGAGAAGCATGAACCAGAGTCTGCAGGAGGACTGGGAGAGGAGCGCCGCCATGAAGAGGCGGCGGGACCTGGAGGAAAAGGCCTTTGAGCGGTAAGAGATGATCTGAAGCAGAAGCTCTTGGTTTGCAGCCACCCCTGCTCCCCCCACCACCTTGCTTAGTTTCCTTCTAACGTGGGGACAGCCGACGGGTGTCAAGGGTCAACTCCAACTGATTGGCAGAGGCTGCCTCGAAAATGTTAAGGAAAAGACAACTATTTGTAGAGGGTGGGGACTGTCTTTGAAGAGAACGATTTGGGAGCAGGGAGAGCGAGTTTCTGATCCGAACACTTCCAGGGCTCATTTAGGTATGGAATGGCCACTGACGAGCAAAGCCAAGGGACTGTATGACTGACCCCTGCAGAATGAGCTGTCCATCCTTTTGGCCACTTTCCCACCACCGGGCCGCAGTAGCTTTCTGTTTTGTTTCTTTTTTTTTGGCGGAACTGGGGATTGAACTCAGATCCTTGCGTTTGCCAGTCAAGCGCTTATCCTACTGAGCCATCTCCTCGGCCCCCAGTAGCTTTCTAATAACCACGCCAGAGCTCGCCAGTGGGTGCTTGTCAGAGGCAGAGGGGGCTGAGGAGCCCCTGGCGGATGGCACTGATGTGCATCGGCCGATCCTGACACCTAGTGGCTGCTGCCATAACTTAGAGGAGGAGAGGTTTATTTTGGCTCGTGTTCCAGAAGTTTTCAGTCCATGTTCCAACATTTTAAACACTATGGTGGGTGGTTGTGGTGGAGGAGAGCTGGTACAACACCATGGAACTGGGAAGCAGAGGGCCGGGGAGGGAGACAGCTCTTGCCAGGGACCTGCCCCTTCCTCTAGCAGCCCACCTCCTGGCAGCTCAGTCAGTGCCCAACTCTTGTGTAGCTCGAGCGAACTTTCAGGCCTGGCGACACTGCCTCTGTGGCCTGACCGACCACCTTCTCTAAGCCCCACCTGTGGTAGACAAGTGGTGTCGTGGCCTCCTCCTCCGTAGTCGCCTGAGGTCTGAAGCAATCTGAGGGCTCCCCATAGGGATCTTGACCTCTTTTTCAAGAAAAGATTTTTCTTGTGAGGCATTTCTCACCTTTCTTTCTATGGGTGAGCTCCATATTTTGTGACTA